GAGACCGTATCAAATGCCTTACTAAAGTCTAGGTATATGACATCCACCGCTTCTCCCTTATCCACAAGGCTCGTTATCCTATCAAAGAAAGCTATCAGATTAGTTTGGCATGACTTGTTCTTCACAAACCCATGCTGGCTATTCCCTATCACTTTATTACCTTCCAAGTGTTTGCATATGATTTCCTTAATTACCTGCTCCATTATCTTCCCTGGGACAGACGTTAAACTGACCGGTCTGTAGTTTCCTGGGTTGTTCTTATTCCCCTTTTTATAGATGGGCACAATATTTGCCCTTTTCCAGTCTTCTGGAATCTCCCCTGTCTGCCATGATTTTTCAAAGATCATAGCTAAAGGCTCAGATACCTCCTCTATCAGCTCCTTGAGTATCCTGGGATGCATTTCATCAGGACCTGGTGACTTGCTGACATCTAACTTTCCTAAGTGATTTTTAACTTGTTCTTTGTGTATCCTATCTTCTAAACTTACCCTCTCTCTGCTTGTATTCACTACGTTAGGCACACCTCCAGACTTCTCGGTGAAGACCAAAACAAAGAAGTCATTTCTGAGGAAATGTCTTTCACCTGGCTGAGGCTAGAAAGAGATGCACTTGGTAGATGAGGCCAGTAGAGGGATAGCTGTGGGATAGCCCCATGGCAGCGCGTTAGGGAAAAGGCCAGAACTTATTCCAGCCAGAGGAGAACTTCTCCTGAAAACCAACTGCAGGGAAAGCAATGCTGTTGGCGTTGTGGAAACCAGGCAGGAGGGAGAAACTACACAGTGGTTGCAAGTAGGGATGGGAAAGGTTAACTGGTAAGCATCACCCTTAATGGGCGATGTTTCCCAGTTCCGGTTAACTGGTGGGGGATGCTCCAGGGGTCTGCTCCAGGATTGGAGGGGAGCCCCACAGACAGGAGCAGTCCCTGCCTTCAGCAATGGGGCCACTCGGGCCCAGTGGCAGGCCGGAGCCATCTCCCCACCCACCCCTTCTTTAATTGGTTAACCCAGTGTTTCCCAATTTAATTTGGCCACGGAACCCTTTTCATCTTAAAAGAATTTCGAGGAACCCCTAGGACTGCCAGGGTAAAATTTGTCAAGAAAAAAACAAAGCCCCTTCGGAATTGGTCAAGCAAAACCAAAAACACCACAAAGTAGACTCTGTGGGGGGCAGGGGAGTGCCATGGAACCCTTACTTTCGCTTCACGAAACCATGGCGTTCCGCCAAGCACCAATTGAGAAACAATGGGTTAAACGGTTAAACAATATATTTAACTGGTTAACTAATTAAACAGGATTTTACATCCCTAGTTGCAACTGGACCCAAAATCAATCCAGAGGCAACATTGGCTGGGGGAAGGAGGAGGGGGGCAGATTAAGAAAAGTGAGGTGAAGTTAAAGAGCATCCTATTTTCTTCTGTCCTTGTAGGTGGGGGGAGCTGCCCTTTGGCTTCGTCTACACAATTCCCCCCATCAGTGCAGCGCCAGTGGTGCAGACCAGTTGCTGGTATTTTCCCCAGCACATTGTCTAGACCTGCTGTGGGCAGGGCTGGATGACAGGAATGTAAAAACACACACCTCCAATCTACACTAACATCCCCTCCATTGTTAGCACTGGCACTTGAGCACAGGGAAAAGAATTTCAGTCTTCAGCATAAAAGCTGCCATAAACGTACCGCTCATCCTCTCTCCATAGAGACCCACAGGACAATCGCCAATAGAAAGCGCTGTGGCAATATATGACAGTCCCCCTGTCCAGCCAGTCCCCTTGCCTGGCAGAGCTGATCAGTGAAGGGAGACTTATTAGCAACAGTTTCTGTGAAATACACAGGGACAGGTCTCATTCCCTTCCCTTGTCTCTGATTCTCTTTCCTCCAGGGATCTGTCCTGCACTCCTGACTCCATGCATGCCAGTGGGAGTTTTGCATTTCCTTTTGAATATTTGCAGAGTCTAGGATTTTGAGAAGCAGATTCCACTGTGATGTGTGCAAAGGCCCTTCTTCAAATCCAGCATCCAGCCACTGTGCCAGCCCCAGCATTTGCAACATGAACATTCGGCGTCACAGCAGCGGCTGGCACGTACTGGTTTTGTAAATATTTCCTCTGAGGCTGTTGGGGCTGAGCCAAGCAGCTAAAACACAGGATGAAGGGGGTATCTAACCTCTTTCCTCAGCTTCTTCTCCACCTCTCTTCCCAACCCTCCCCACCAACCACCACCTTAGCCTTCTGAGGTTGCATGATCATGACTTTGATTTTTCTAGGGGCCCGACTCTCCGGTGCAGCTGGCCTGTGTTCCGGGCAGAACCCAAAGAGAAAGGAAAAGTTGGCATTTATGCATCCTCAGTAGCTCTGCAATTCTTTGTTCAATCCCTGCAGTCATTTAGAGCAGCCATTGAGTTCTCCTGACTTACACAGGGTCACCTTTGGCCGTTCCAGTCGCTGGAAATAGCCAGAGCACAGAGACTCTCCTGCCAAGCTCTCCATACCTCTTCTCATTGGGCCAGGGCTGCTGAGCTTAAGGCCTGTTTGTCAGTGGAACAGCACAAAGGGGCCGTATCATACTGAAGATAGAGGCCTTGCATTTCTACAGCCTGAGAAAGTCACTGCCATGGCCCTTTGGCATGTGCTTGGCAGAGCTAATCGCAGCCCTAGAGTACATGATCTGAGGGGTAGGGTATCATTTACTTCATGGGGAATTTGGCCCTCCACAGCTCCTTTAGAGCAGGTCTGTCCAGTGTGGCTGCAGGCCCTACTTTGTTTATTACAAGTAATGGGGCGCTTGATGGTTGATGGGGTTTTTTTTCCTGGCAGGGCACATGGCTTGGGGCAAAGAATATATTTGTAATGTTGAAGGTAAAGTGTTTGGGGGGGCATATCGGTTTTTTAGCCCTGACCGTGTCCCCTTGACCTCATCAGACACAAACATTGCAGTTGCTTTTTGGCTCACACGCACAGAAAACTCCGTGTAATTCCTCTCTGCGGCTGCTAAGAGCTGAAGAACGACAGGGGCAGAAGTCCACTCCTGCTGCCAAAGCTTCCGGAGCGGCCTGTTTGCTTTAGAACTCGATACGCTGCCTAGCAAGACAGAGTTCAGCTCAGTTCGAGACCTGGCAGGCCCAGGCTGCCTTCTGAGCCAGAAAGCAAAATAAAAAAGACAAGCCATGAATGGATACATTTCAGTCTATGGCTACCGCCAGGAAGAAAGTTAGTCACAATGAGCAGTTGCGCTAGGAGCAGTTCATTTTTCTGCATGTCATTTCCCGGTACAGGTCCATCTTTGACAGCTTGAAAGTTCAGGGCTGACCATACTTCTTGAAGGCACTGACTCAGTCTCAGCCTCACACAGAACTTCGCCTTAGGGATATTTACCCACAAGTCACAGAAGCAGGTGGATGCTGAGGACTTGAATTTTAGCCTCGGCACTGGCAATCAGGATCCTGCTCAGAGCATTTGCGGTCAGCTAGGTTAAAGTCACTGCTTTCCGTGGCTCAGAATCAGAGAGAGAAATAACAGATAGTCTCTTTCCAGCAAGCTGATAAACCAGATAAATAGCCCATGGACAGGAAACAGAATCAAAAGTACCAGATTTCCTGAGCAAAGGCAGAATTCCAAGTGAATTTCACTGCGAGCTCTGTGCTTAAAAACTGAGGCTTTTCCATGGTCTCAGAGCCATGACAAAGTCTCTGAACAGGGTGTGCTGAACAAATGCAGGCAATTACAGTCAACTCAAATGAAACAGAGCAACTTAATACAAACCACACTGGCTGAGAGCATCTGGCCATTCTAAACTGTTCCCAGCAGCTGAGCACATAAAAAATAAGCTCCAGAGTCAAATGGCCCAGAAAGCTCATGGAAGGTTTGAGTTTCACCCCATATAGTCCTTATCTCCAAGTAGTTTAAATGAACACTACATTATGTACATATCAATATGAAACTGCCAAGCATGCCCCAGCTGAGATCAGTAGGGACTCGATGACCTAGCACTGCTCCTAGGGTCTTTCAGAGGGGATAGAAAGTAAACATCCAGACCATTGGAGGTTCAAATTCAGCCCTGGCCTACCCAGGCAGAACTCCACTGAGTGCAAGAGCTGAATCTGGCCCAAGATCAAATATCCCATGGCACTTTTAGGAACACAGGAAAGTTAGGGACATAATTTAGGTAAAACTGGAGCTCAAGTCATTAAAACAAATCAGTTTCCATTCCCTTTGCAGACTCAAGATGAAACCTGCAGTCCTCACATGCCTTATTTTGACATTAGACCAAATACCAGCAGGGCTTTCTCTTTGTTGCTATCTGTTCCATACCTGTCAGAGCAAACACAGCTGAGTTGGAGGTCTTCTACTGTGTGGTATACACAGGCAGTTCAGATGCACCATTTTTGGCATATAAGTGGAGCTGGCAGATGGGCCATGGGTGAAGCAGATAAATGGCAGAAGTGGGGACTCCAGACCAATTCAACTTCTAAATAGGTTGGTGTGGAAGATGGCAGAGTAGCAGCACAGTTGTGAATTTCACCCAAAGGCCATCTCTATGCATGACCTCCTGGCCATCCACCCCGGTCTCCACCACCCTTATGAGAACACAACTGGTAAGAGCAGATAAAACTTTTTCTGCAGAAAAGGCCGCAGCCCATTCTCGTGCAGTTAACTCCTAAAGGAGAAGGCTAAAAAGGAACAGCCAAGTGCCTCATCTTCTTTGCTTCCAGAGGGCGTAATAATGGCCTGACACACAGGGGTGCTGAAAAGACACTGATCTTTATTGTCCGGCCCCACTCACCAGACACAGGTCAGTGTTACAAGAGAGGCTCTGTCACACTCCAAAGGTGGCTCCCCTGTGAGTCTAGTGGGTACCTTAGAGGTTCCAAAGGAAAATTAACCAGAACTGGGTTTTTTTCCATGCTGCAGTTAAATTCCATGTGATCATTCACTTGAATGGAACTCGGAAGAGGATGTAGCAAGGTGTCTCTGAGGACCCCTCACCTCAGGACTGTTTCTTCTCCACAGGGATTCCTGCCCATTTGGAAATGCAAGTGAAGTAATGGAGATTGAGCCCGCGTACGCTGACTTTATTTCTTGCGACCGCACTGGGCGGAGGAACGCCATCCATGACATCCAAGGAGACGCGACCGCCATTAGCATGCGGAAGCTGGCGGGTGACATAGGCGAGCTTTCCATTGAAGGAGCAGGTGAGTGTGCAAGGTGAGAAGACTGCCATAGACACCCACAAAACTTGACTCCCTAGGCCTAGCCTGAAAGGCCAAGATACACAACTCCACAGAAATTCATCTCTGTATTGTCTGGGAGCCAGGTGTGACCCAAAGAGCTCACGCTTGAGAAACCCAAGCACATTGAACAGGAATGAGCCATTGTTCATTAGTGTCATTGCCTTCTTGTTTAACAGGCCTGTACCTTTGTCTGAACTTGGCTGCCTGGCACTGAGTTCCTTACAGTGAGGGGGATGGGATTCAGGTTCTAGTTCACAATGGGTAAAACATAGAGCTCTGTGTGTAAACCAGTTAAAGTGCTGAGGTGTCTGCAGCGGGGCATGTAACAACAAAGGGCACCAGCAGGGCAATCTGACCCCCGACTGTGCCAAAGACCTTAGTCTAATGGGCTCTCTGCAAACCTAAACAGCAGTTCTGTTTCTAGGGTTTTTAATTAGAATGATTTTTTTACATAATTTCCCCCCTGAAGTCCAAATATTGTAGTCATTCTGCTGCTGTCGTCACAGGCTGTCGCTTTAATACATGCTGACTAGACAGGTGCACTAAGGCAAAGCACGCTAAGTGAAACCCATCTAAAGCAAAGTGAAAGCTTCCTGTTGTGTAAACAGCACAAATGGTGACAATCAACTTTATCTTTAACATTCCTTCCATTTTTATCTTCTGAACTTTGATTTGTAACTATAAAAACCCTTTAAACACGTTGAACCTCTCCAGTCTGGCACTCTCTGGTTCAGCAACATCCGTGGGCCGGCATGATTTTAGTTAGCGGGATAACCACTTGTCATGGGTGTGGCCAAGTTTCCGTGGTCCCACAAAGTTTGTTTACAGCCATCAGTCCTGGCGCTTGGTGTTCTGTGCTATTATTTAGCTCTAGGTTACCACTAACTGTCTTCTACAAGCCCAGTATGCAGTGGCATTGTTGGTAATGCTGCTAGATGATCTTGACCTTATGTGGTTTGGCAAGTTCTCTGGCTTGGCACCAGTCATGTCCCAAGGGTGCCAGACTAGAGAGGTTTGACTTGTAATGGGATTCTATGCAGCAGCCATATAGCAAATCTATTTACAGCCAGCTCCCCCAAGGTTCAGAAAACATCCAAAAGAACTCCCATTGCTTCCTTGTGTTACCCTGTAAGTGCAATATCCCCCACTTAGAAAGTGGTCATTGCTGTAGCACTGCTCCATCTTAGCACACCAGTACATCATCTAGAACCTCTACAATCCACGTCTGCACCCAGCCTCCCTCTTTCTAGATTAGCCCTTTGTAGTGTGGTGCACATTAGAGTTTGCATTCAGCAACATACAGGCAGCCTGCTGCTTTTAGGCCCACTATCTGGCCTCAGTGAGATCAATGATGATTTCTCCGCTGACTTCAGAACGATCAAGATTTAGTCATTCGTGATCGTCACTTTGAGTTTGGCTACATGGCTGAATAGTGTGTATACGTAAAACCCAGCCAGCTAAACAAGCACAGCAGGTGTAGTTTCCTGGTGGTGGTGGGGGGAGGGAGAGAGGGGTGGAAGTGTGAGGGAAGGAGTAGAAGCGTCAACCTAACCCTTGGCTTCTCTTTTAATGAGAAAATCTTATCAAGGCTATTTTTCATATGAAAGAAAGGACAAGGGCCTGAGTCTTCTGGGGAGAGGCCAGATACACACCACATTCTTCTGGATCATGAGAGAAGCTAACATATTGGAGTTTACCTCCCCTTTTTCCCCAAAATGGCTTCTGGAAACAAAATACTAAACTGAAACCCATGGTAGAAAAATCTCTCTCATTCCCGCTAGTGAAGTTCTCAATTCCTGCAGGAGACAAGGGAAGTGGGAATCACATTCTACAGCCTGACACCCCTTCTACATTTTACAGCAAGAGACAGCCCTGGAGTAGTTCAAAATTGCTAGTCCAAGCCTTTCCTTGAAAACAACCACCCACTTGCTTGCAAACTCCATCTACTTCTCCAGGAGATGCTCGGGCATGAACTTGTGTCACTAAACCGGGTCTCTGTGCCTGAAGGGGAACATCTACACTGCTATTTTTAACACAGTAGGGTGAGCCCTGCTCAACCATGTCAATTAATGCAGAGTTTGGATCTTGCTTCCCGGCTTTTGTTTTGTAGTGCAGACATGCCCGAAAAGCAGTATGGTTACAGGTGGAGTGAATAACCTTTTGCTCTCTTAGGCTTTGTCTACACTGCACAGGTTTTGCACAAGAAGCTTTTTGTGGAAGAGATCTTCTGCAAAAACTTATTGCACAAAAGCGTGTCCACACCTCAAAAGTGCATCGCAAAAGCAATGTGCTTTTGCACAAGGGAGTGTCCATACTGCAAGGATACTCTTGCACAAGGAAGTTCTGATGGCCATTCTGTGAATCGCAATCAGAGCACCTGTGCTTTTTCTGATAGGCTCTTTTTGCTCAAGAAACCCCTGTTGAGTGTCCACACACACCTATTTACGCAAGAGATCTTGTGCAAAAAGGAGTTATTCCTTGTAGAAAGAGGTATACCGACATTGCAAAAAGCCCTCTGTTCTCCCGTTTTACTGTAAATTTTCTTGCACAGAAATGCACTTGAGGTGTGGACGTGTCGCGGGTTTTTGTGCAAAAACCCTGTAGTGTAGACATAGCCTTGGGGTATGGCTACCTACACAGCTTTTAGCAACATGGCTGTGTCGGCACAGCCAAATCACTAGGACTACATCTACACTACCAAGTTTTATCACTAAAAATTGCTTTTTGGCAATGCAACACTACAATGCAAATTTTTTTAGGGAAAACGCCCAGTTTCAGCAACAAAAACCTTCCACTCTTTGAGAAAGATTTTTCGTTCCCCCTCCTTTTATTGTTGACAAAAAAAAAAGTGTAGACACTATTTGTCTGGTCAACAGCAATGGCTTCCGCCAGTATACTGACCTGATCACTCTCTTAGGCTGTGTCTAGATTGGCAAGTTTTTCCGCAAAATCATCTGCTTTTGCAGAAAAACTTGCCAGTTGTCTACACTGGCCACTTGAATTTCCGCAAAAGCACTGACGATCTCATGTAAGATTGTCAGTGCTTTTGCGGAAATACTGTGCTGCTCCTGTTCGGGCAAATGTCTTTTTCCGAAAAACTTTTGCACAAAAGGGCCAGTGTAGACAGTAGAGATTTGTTTTCCGCAAAAAAGCCCTGATCACAAAAATGGCGATCGGGGCTTTTTTGCGGAAAAGCGCGTCTAGATTGGCAGGACGCTTTTCCGAAAATGCTTTTAATATTTCCGTTAAAAAATGTTTTCAGTTAAAAGCATTTCCGGAAAATCATGCCAGTGTAGATGTAGCCTTAGTGTTTTGATCTCTGCTACCCTTCAGGCATGTGCCCCTCCCATTTCAAAACTCCAGGAAGTGTCTGACAGCTGAGTGAGCTGCTCAGTTTGGGGATCAAACAAAGAGCAAATCATTGGACTGCTTCTGTTCTGCCCTGCACTAGGAACACAGCAGCAGGCAGACTGGTGTTGCAGGGGGAGGTGGGAAAGGCTGCTGTGCTGTTTTGACATTCCTCAGCATGGAGAGCTCACAACGCTACTCATAATACTGTTCCCAGCAGCTGAGGGGACTGTGGGAGAACTTGGAGAGAATCCCAAGACGCACAGGGATCAGTTCTGCCTTCCCACAACACTGCACTGTGGGATACGCAATCACAGTGCATTGTTCACATTGTCAATGATGGTGCCTCCAATGTAGATAGGGTCTGTTGAGAGAACGAACAAGGGTGAACACCCTTGGATGATTTTTGTTTTGTCAACAAAACGTGGTGGTACAGATTTAGCCTAAAAGTCAGGCAATGTAAATACTGTTTAGTGGAGCTTTTATGGACAAAAAACTTCAATCCCCTACCAGGGGCGGCCCGTGTCTATCGGCGGACTCGGCCTCCACCTAGGGTGCCATCGCCCGATGATGATGTCAGGCCATTGACGGCCCTGCAGGCGGGGGCGCCAATCGTGTGCTCTGCCTGGGGCGCCAGCTGCTGCAGCCGGCCTCAGGCCGCTCCTGCCCCCTACCAGTGGCATTTGCTTTGCTGGCAGGAAAGTGCAAACAAAGCACTGTTTACACTTTTGTCATTGGGGGCAGGCATGTTTACGTACCTTTGAATACAAAAGCTCTGTCACTTCATGCCAGAATAGACAAAGCTTCAGTTGCAAGTTTAATTCCTCTTTCTTCCATTTCCTTTACAGGAAATCAACCTGCTGCCACTGCTTCTGAGAAGGAACCTGAAGCAAGACCCGAGGGGCAAGAGAGCACTCCCCCATCATGAAAGCCACAGAAGTGAGAGGAGAAAGGTGGGGGGAGGAAAGAACTGTAGACACAACATGGGAATGTTCCAGCCAATCTGCCGACAACCGAGAGCCAAACCAGAACAATGAATTCTCTCTTTAAATGCCTTTGTTGTGACCATTCTGTTCAGATACCTATAGAAAGTTCAGCAGTGGGTACCTGTACATCCATTCAAATCTGCTTAGAACACTGCACTGGTGGGTAGTCACATAAGCCACTTTCAAGGTGCCTTTGAAGCAATTTTCCTCTACTGGAAAATATCATTTGCAAAGAGCCTATTACACTTCAGCCTTTGATGTGTAATGTACATTTTTTTTACTCTGTAAATTTAGACGAATGTATTTATTTCCTGTTCCCGTAGGTGAGAGGTTTTGTTGCTTCCCTTCCTTCTGGAGCTAGCTTAGAGGTGAATGGATACTTAGTGCTTCCTACACATACACTTGGAGTCATGGAGCTTAGTAGGGGAGGGGTGACAGCAGTTCCTGCTGCATTAATACTGAACACTATTAACCTATGTTCCTGCTTGTTGGGTATCAGAAGCAGACCAAAGCTCACAGGTGTACACAAACTCCACCTGCAGGCACAGCAACACCACACAGGGGCACTATTTGGGGCCACAGGGTTTTAAGGGCAGAACGGGCTTAATTGTTTATTTTTTACAGTAGACTAAATTCAAACTCATCTCTTAAATTCTGTCCAGCTTGGAGGTATTTATTTCTGGAAAAGTTTCACAGCCCCTCTCTTTGGAGACATGTTCTTTGGTAAAAAACGTTTGATAACCTATAAGCTTGCTGTAATAAATAACACACAACTCTCGGCTAATAAACTTGAGTGAGGGCTTCGGTGCACTTTGCTCCCCCCCCTCCCACTGGCCTCTGAAACGTGGAATTACAAGATCACATCATCTACCCAGGGAACAGCAGGCAAAGAGCCATTTCAAATTACATCAGTGCTGTCCAGCTTCATATGCTCCCAACTGCTGGAGCAACTTCCAGCTGAGCGTGGACTGAGAGCCAGGCTCAGTAAATGGAAATTAATCCATGAGTTTGACACTGATGTCTTCAGACTTGTTAGAGCGCAGCTCCCCTGGCTGTGGTTAGTTGTTGCTAGGGTTTTAATTTGTATTTTGGAACACAGCTTCTTCAGGGTCCAGCCTTACACCAAGCACAACTGGGCTAGCTCAGAACTTGGCTAAGAGACCAAAGAGTAGAGGAAATACTGCAGGTGAGGCAAGGCCTCCTTTCCAGTCAGTAGCATTGAGTTGCCACCCCCAGCAAGTGCATGACCAGAATTCCACATGCACCATGAAAGAAAGCAGGATCCAATTAAAGCTCCGTAAGAGGCCAAGAGACCAGCTGGAATCCGATGCTGTGTTTTCCTTTCACGTCTCCCAAAGACTAATGAATGGGCCCTATGCCATCTCCAGGAGTGCGCTGCATCACTGTGCCATCCCAGCCCTTCCTTCCCACAAAACAGGAGTTGTAATCATGGGGCCACACTAAACCACAACAATTTTCCCACTCTCTGAGCTCTAGCACTAAAGCACGTGACTGGGGCAGGGGTCTCCAACCTTTATGAGCCCAAGATCACTTCTTGAACTTAAATGCAATCCAGGATTTACCTCAAACCCAAATATCTTTGCCCTGCCTCTTTTGTGCCTCTTCTCCGAGACCCTGCCTCTGTTCACTCTGTCCTCCCTCCTTCCCCCCCTCCTTTTCACTAGGCAGGAGCAGAGGTTTGGGGCATTAACTCCCTTAGCCCAAGACCAGATTTTGAGTGTGAGAGGGGCTCTGAGCTAAGCCTGGGGCAGGGAGTTGGTGTGCAGCACGGGGTTCAGGGAACAGGCTCAGTAAGGGAGTCTGGATCCAGGGGGCTCAGGACTAGGGCAGGGGCCTGGAGTGTTGGAGGAGGTACATGGCTGGGGCAGGAGCTGGCTCCAGCTGGACACTGCTTACCTCTGATGGCTCCCGGGAGGTGATGCAGTGGAACTAAGGAAAGCTCACCCGTACCCTGGCCCAGCACCACTCTCTAAAGCAGCCAGTAAACTTCCCCCACCCCCAAGCCCTGTTGTGCCTCCTTCCCTTAACATCTGTGCCCCCTCCTCTCCCTTCCCTGCTCTGCACAGCAAGCAGGAGGCTCCTGGGGGAGGAGGGAGTAGAGGCAGCTCCAAGGCAAAGTGCAGGAGATGCACAGCAGAGGGAGAGGGCCAGCTGAAGTGCTGTGCTTGATAGCCTCTTGGAAAAACCAGTCAGGATCACATGCCGAGGCTCCAAGATCTTCCAGTAGATCCCGATCTACTGGTTAATGACCACTGGACTAGGGCAAAGCAAAAAGGAAAACATTCCTACACAGTGACCCAACACCAAACTCTCCTCCTTGGCAAGAGGAAAACTTCATGATTTCAATTTTATCAAACCAAACAAGGCCATAAATGAGATCAGAATGCAGTACTAGAGCAGGAAATCTTCATGGAGCCTAAGAAATGAGAGGACTGTGGTACCAGGATAGAGACATTTATGGCCCTGGAATGCTTAGAAAACAAGGATTTGGCAGATAAGATGGTATAGATTTGGCCTTTTTTGGGAGGGGGTGGGGGGAAGAGGGGAGAGACAATCTCACAACCACAAACCCAGGTCAGTCAACTTCTGCTGGATCATGCTGCCAACACTGCTTCAACATGGCATGAACACAAGCTCTTCTTCCCATGAAATCAACAGCAAACTGGCCACATTCTCTGTGCCTTCAGTAAAAATAAAGTTGGGCTTTACATCCTGAAGTCTCCTGGTGTCTAACTCTCCAGCTGAGTAGAATTCACATCTTACCCACTCTCCCACATGCTCACAAGAAGGGAGCAGCCAGGCAGAGCAGAGGGATAGAATAATAAACATGTATAAACTCAAGAACAGCAAGAGATGGGCAAATCTTTGGTGTCTCAGCTCCCAGTGTGTGCATTCATGTTTTATTTTTAACCAAAATCAGCTGTTGTAAATTACACTGGGAAAGGAAAGACAGAAGGTATCAGGTTTCCCCAGTGAGTAAAAGATTCATGTCAGCTGCCATCACCAATTGCATTGAAAAAAGAAGCACATCATACTATTCAGTAACATCCTGGCTTTCAGGAATTTTGGGCCCTCAGCACTCCCACGGTCTTCAATGGGAAGTGCAAGTGTTCGGTACCTCTGAAACTGATCACGGACACTGGAAGGAGACCCTTGCAAAAGCGGGCCTCCAAAATTGAGCTGACAGTAGGATTTAAATGGCCAGAGGGAGTAGTTTAAAGTTCATCTTTGCTTCATAGCTCTGATTAATTCTGCACAGCTCAGAAGGAAAAAACCCACGAAATAAAGCATTGTTTTTTACACGCCAGAAAAATCACAGCCCAGGGCCCAGTAATAACATTAGCCACTTTGGCAATGACATGTCCCCTTCTTTGAGCATAATGGGGGAAATGATGAGTGAAACTGGAACAGCTTGTATCAACAGCTCTGAAGAAGTTGTGAGCCTGCAATGTCTGAACAAGAAACGTGTTTGCACTTAAAATAGGAGACTTTTCCCACACTAGTGTAACTTCACCAACTTGATACAAATTAGGAGTCTCTCTTGAACAATGAGGAAAAAAAAAATCAGACCCCAAAGTTACTGAATGACATCTGCCAGGGCCTGATTCTGATCCAAGAGGCATCCATTCCATAGTGGTGCAACTCCTGCTATTTCAGTTATACTAGTTTCAATTTATACCCATCTGCTAAATGGGAAAATAGGTCCATCCTGACCTCTACTTCCATCTCATGCCACCAGTTTTGGGACTTCCTTCAAGAAACCAGAGACCATTTGGGGGCACTCAGTACAACTGCATGGAGTCTACCACTGGCTGCAATTGCCTGCATAGGTGCTAGGGGTATGGAGGTGAGAGGAAATTTCAAGTTACCCATAGAACAACAATATCTTTCTTAATATTTTGGCAACGTTATTATATATTGTGACAAAGCTCCTATGAAAACTTGGTGGATCCTGCACTTCCTGGAGGATTTGCTTACCTCAGAGGCTCACAGCAGCCCCCAGTTTTAGACACCACACCCAGGGCTTTATTTTGCTGTAGGTTGAGCTCTTGTCATTATTGGCTAGTGTATGATTAACAGAGATGAAACTCCACAGTCCTTTTCCCCAAGAGGAAATGGGGAGGTGGGTGTTGGGCGGAACCCGGGTCCACCCTCTACTCTGGGTTCCAGCCCAGGGCCCTGTAATAGTAGCTGCATGTATGAATCCTGACACCTGTTAGAATACAGCTCCAAGACCCCTGGGCTACTTCCCCACACGTTTCCCAGCATCTTCCTTCTCTCTGGTTCGTCCTCTTAGTTGTGATCATCTTTCCTCCCATGCCCAGCAGTGCCCTCCTCCTTCCTCCCAGCTGTACACATCCTACCACTGCAGGCAAGCTTCTTTTATAGCCAGTCTGAACTTTTTTTCTTAATTACCCCTACATGTCCTAATTGGCCTAGGTTGGCCCGACCCTGCAGGCCTGGTCAATTAGCCCCAGGTGTTCCACTGCCCGATTGCTTCTGTTGGTTCTAAACCAGCCTCTCTCTGTTAATCCGGGGGCAGAGATCTCCTCAGTCTGAGGATTATAGATCTCCCCTCCACTACTTTTTTATAGTCTTCTGTTCTAACCATGTCATAACACACACACACAGAATCTATTATCCCCCAAGTTCTAAAATGTGGGTCTCATTTAGCTAGAACTATGGGCAGAATGTGATAGTTTCCTAATGAGGTCTTTAAGCAGAAATTAGAAATACAATTATTTTTAAAATAAAGTGTTCTTTATTAAATCAGAATATTTTACTCTGAGTCTCCAGAATGCAAATAGCTGTTCACAAGCTATTTCTGAAGAGAGAGTACCAAACAATAACAAGACTGTAGAGAATATTAGAACCACTTAGAACTGACAACTTATCATTGGCTTTAAAAAAATAAAACAATTCATTTATATATTTGCGTATACATGCACAAAGTATTTAAGAGAAGAGAATTTTGTATTCATTTATAAAAATCAATATAGCAACCCAACTCTGGCTTGCTGATGTCTGAAATGAGAGCAGTAAATCCCAGCCGTCTTCCAATGTCTAGGAGAATGGTGAACATAGCCCTTTATCAAAGGCAACTTTTTGGTGTTTGTAGCTTTGGGGTCCAGGTCTTTGCAGCCCTTGTGACACTGGTACTCTCCCCACTCCTGACCCTAGCTTCCTCTGCCCTGTTTACAAAGTCTTAGGAGGATGAAAGTATCAAAATCCTACAATTAACTAAAACATGCAATAATTTCTTTGCATAAAAAAGAGAAGTGTTATAATACACCAAACTGGCATAGAAATTATGCTAATATTTTCTTTATAAATTCTCAAACGTACCAAAGACAGGGATTCCAGCAAGAATTCAGCTAAGTACCTTCTGAAGCACTTGTGACATCTGAGACATTTTACTAGATACTGGACCTTAATTCATTAGTTTATTAGCCCTATTAATGGTGCCTGAAAGCTAGCTGATGACAGAAAGATTAAACATAGATGTTAACCACATTTTTAAGTATCTTTAAAAGACCCAGACTAGATTAAGAGCAAAATTCAGCCCCAGGGAATTAGATTCGTGTACAAAGAAAGTGCAGAATGCTGGAGTGGACAATCTGAGAGGAGAACTTTGTCCTGAAAGTGGAAAAATGTGCACTAACTTTATAGGTACATTCAGCAAACCACTGGAAGTCTCTGGACTCCCCAAACATACCCTCTGGTGTCCTGAAGCAGAGCTGTATGCTTGCACCTGCAGTGACATTGTGGAGATTTAAGGTCTTGCGAGACAGCTTTTTTTTTTAAATAAATAAAAAATACAAAAATTGTTAATTTAAAAAAAAAAAAGTTACTGTATTTGTGCAACAAAAAAGCCTAAATGCAACCACTGCTGCATTTTCCATCTTGTTCTTAGTCCCTATTTGCAATACAAAATATATCTTGTTTACATACAATTATGGCCAAACTGTGTTTTAACACGGTCTTTTTTATCCATGCAAAAAAGAATAAACTGTAGTATTGAAATGTTTTGCTATTTATTTTGGTAACTACTAGTGTCAGAAGACAGTTTGCGCATATGATTCTAACATGCATATTACAACTTGCTGGATAGACAATTTTTCAGTTCGTTGGCTATTCTAAGAAAATAAAAAATAAATCATTTTGTGTTGAATTGAAAACAAGCATTTTAGTAAAAAATGTTGTGAATCAAAAAGTTGAAAAGTCAAGTTGAAGCAAAAGCTTTCATTCCAAGGTGACATTTTTCAAGTTGAGCCATTTGTCAAAAGCAAAGAAGAAATCACAAAAGAGGGTTTGGGGGAGGACGAGAACCTCACTTATAACCTTTAGTCCAGTGGTGGGAGACCAGAATTAAGTCCCCTCCTCATCCCAATGTGGAAAAAAAAATGTTTGAATGGGGAGAGTGGTCCTCCGCTCAGTGCAACAAAGTGCCCTACACATCAGGACACAGAGTCTCTCACTTTCTTTCAATATCTTCATAAACAACTTTGAGCTGCCACATTGAATGACGATGAAGAGAGAGAATGACGTGCTAGGTTAGTGGTTAGGGCACTCCTTCAGCAAATGAGAGACCTAACCTGAAGTCTGGACTCTAATGACTAATTATTTATATACAAGAGAATAGCATTCAGCAGCAAGACTGAAAGCCCCACACCAGAAGATGCCACAGCCCAGAAGCTAGGGCCATCTCCTGCAATGTATGAGATCCAAATTCAATTCTTTCCTCTTCATAAGGTATTGAGGAGAATTAATCTGGGGTCTTCCACACGCCAGAAAAGTAGGTGGGTCAGATCTGAAAAAAACCCTGACCTTCTAAGCTGGGCAAGCTGCAAGTTTGCAATACCTCCCACTCTGCAGCACATTCAGCGCAGCAAGGTAGGGGCAGCTGGCAGGAGTGGGACAGACAGGCACCACCATGCTGATCCCATGGGCAAGAGGTGGCCAGAGGAGGAGTTGTCAGGAGTGGGAAGCTCCCACCAGGCCAAGCCCTAAGGACAAGGTGGGAACGGTGATAGTGCAGATGGGGATTGGTTCAGGAGGTCCCTTCCTAAAAGGGCTGATTTGAGAGTGCTCAGCTCAGGTTCAGGTCAGGCCTTCTCCTAAGGCATGACTAGCCCTCTCTAGGGGTGTGTCTAAACTACATGGCTCCAACTCATCTTCTCCCATAGTTTGACCACAGCTGCAGCTCACCAAGATTAATGTAGTGCAGAAAGGGACTAAGATAGATCAGCAAGGGAACTAGAGCACCATAAAGTCACATAAAAAAATTATATCACCATCACAAATAAAGAGGGCCTTATTTTGCTTTCATTTATACCAGGATGTCAAACTAGCATAAGCCATAATGGAATCAGGCCAGAAAACTCCACCTGTACATTTGTGTGTCAGAAATATAAGAAATCAGATATCTAGTTTGTCCATGGTTCTGCAGGTAGAGCTATACCATGGAACCATGGAAATACTGCTTTATAGTGCATGCCTCGGACTGTAAAGATCAGTATAATACCACCAGTATTATGTGCTGGTGCCCTGGCACCTCCTCCCCCACGACAGTGCTCCCACTAAACAAAGAGGAGTTGAGCACACATGGGGACAGGTGACTGCACCTAGCCAGCTGACAGAAGTAGGATTAGAATAGGTTGTCTGGATCCATCCCATAGGCTTCATACAGCTTACTGAGAAGCTCTCTCTTTTCTTTGTTAGGCAGGAAGCTGGACTGAGCTGCATTGATGTTCTGGGAAAAATAAAAATAAAGAGACAGATATAGCTTGGAATATCCACAAGTGTGAGGGTGAGGCTATGCGTGCACAAATCTTTATGCATCAGTGAGTATGAACTAGTGAGTTGGTGTAAAAACAAACACTTTGGTTAGCACAGCTATTCTTGAGCTCTTTTTATCAGCCTCAGTTTTCAAAGGAATTTGATCCTATCCAGTATTTGTAAGAAGCATAAAAAGCCAGGAGATAGATTGCATGTCTTAAATTCCTTTATCAGATTCCAGGATGTGAAATTCATGGGCCTGATCAAAAGCCTATTAAAATCAAGGGAGAGACTCCCATTGGATCAGGCCCTGCCTGACAGGCTGCTGTTGTGACAAAATTCACTACTGGCTTCCCTGAACAATTCACAGTAATGTGTGTCTCTTTAATTTATAAACTTCCTTTCATTAAACAGTAGCCTGCAGTAGAACTTCCCTTAGATTTAACAATGTAAAGATCAGAGCTGTCTACATGTGGAAGGAACAACTAAAGCATAAATCTACTCTTCAGGAAGACAGACTCTTGCTCCTTAAATGAAGTTCCTGATAACAGGCCCAGTGCTTCCTTTTGAAAAGTGCTGCCTGGAAATTCAGCTCCCACACACAGAAAGGAAATCGACTTGGTTTTCAAGGTATGGTGGGATGCATGAATGCCTGGACAACATATACCTCCTTTCAAACTAGTGCATCTCTAACGGTGAAACAGGAAAGCCTCTGAAGTTTCCCTCGTTTGTGGGTAACCATCAGACTAATTTTTTGCCGCTTTATCTTAGGTACAAAGCAGATGAAAAACAGAATTATTACATTTTCAGGACTCTGCACATGCCAACCTGCATGCAAAAATACAATGGCAGATACCACATGACTCTAAAAGTCATGGCAAAAGCAAACAACTTTGTAACCAATTGGTTTGTATATCAGTTACACTTGGCTAATTGCACTCTCCCACTCATGCACATGTGATCATGGTCAAATCAACTCTACTATAGTTTCACACACAGGGAAGGGCAGAGAACGACATCTCCGCATTCTCTTGTTTAGTTCCAGTTTGAGGAACTAGTCAGTGAACAATTTCTGCTTTGACTCATCCCTCGTAAAGCGCCAAGCAGTAGGATAGAGTCAAGTGGGCTGCACCTTTGCAGATCATCCTGGTCAAAATAGAATCTTGTATTCTGTTCTCTGTATGCATTCCAGATGGCCACTAGTATGTCCCATCCCATGTCAATGCCTGCCTCCTTTTCCAATCTCCCCCGCTGAAGTGGATTCAAAAGCTACCTTCACACTGCTGTTGTGCCCCACATAATTCAGTTTTTTCTCCCCACAGTTTTAATGCCAGTGAACTCTCTTCCGGTTTCAGGTTTAAAAATGAGATGTCTCTCAGAAACGATGACTCACGTTAGACTCCAACAGAATAGCCCAAGACAACTTACCACTCTCTTGAACTCCTCTTCAGTGAAACCCAGGAACTGCTTAGCTATTTTGTAATCAGTCTCAATTGTAGAGTTAAAAATGAGAGGATCATCAGTGTTCAGAGAGTAATTTGCTTTATCTTTCATAAATCTGGGAAAACAGAATATAAAGTGGGACAAATATTAGTTTGTGTTTTTCCAAGTGTAAAATACACTAGAAAACTCACAACTTTTCACTTAGTTTGGCTACTCTTGTAGCCAGCTCCATAAATAATTCCTATCAAAGTTAAAGTTTTGGAATGCAAACTGTACATAGCTAACAACTCCTCCCACTTCTTAACAAATTATTTATTGGACAGTCATTCAACATACCGAGCCCCACTGCCAACTCCAGCACCAGACAGTAATGCACTGCAATCTGGGGTTTAGCCCCCATTAGCTTAGAGCAGAGGAGGCCAGAAAATGTTTTATCCTTAAGGAGAGCTATCAGCATATTTATGATAGGTCCTCTGATCAGGTCTATTAGCCAATGCCCAATACTCTGGCAAATGGTTAGAACTTACTTCACATGAGAAGTAATAAAGCTGCTATACGTAAGTGAAGTCTGACTTAGTTACTTGAAAATAATATATTTAAATGTCTTACTGAATTACTGGGTGTTTCTTGTAATCTGGATCACATGCTCCGGTGAGGATACTGGACCTCGGACAGGTCTATATACGTAGGTGGGGAAAAGGCAAAGTCAGTTTCTTCCGTAATAATGCTGCACACAGAGACAAGTTATGATGCAATCTCTGTATGGGGCTGTCCTAAAAAGGACCATGTAGATTTACAGGTCTGTGGAAACAACAATACCATCAAATCCCATCCTCTGCAATGAGCATTTACCACCATGGCTACTGGAGATCAGTATTTCTGAACACTCTTTTGGCTACATGTTTCTGCATATGCACAGAAACCCCTTATCATTCCCAACTCAGCCTAACCTTCTGCTAGAACAGCCCCCATTGGAGGGAGTAGTGACGTATGACATTGCCATGGCTCTCCACCGTTTCAACAGAGGGTGCCAGGGCTCTAGCTACAGGGGTGCACTGGGGCTGAAGTCGGGAAAGGAGCACAAGGCCTGAAACCCTAGTTCTCCTAAGGGTCAGAAGCCTTGAACTCCCATCTGCTACCTTGAGCCCTGACCCATCATACCCAGCAGATGCAGCTCCAACATCCATCCCCATTTGAAGCCCCAAATCAGTCAAGTATTGGGTGGGAAGGTGTGGGTGTCCAGTTCCAGAGGATGTCCTCTTGGCCTAAGTCCGTCACTCTGGTGCTTCTATCTTTGAGGTTCTACTGTACGGGTTCATATACAGGCCCAGACTGGATCTCGTTTTTTTGAACATCTGAGGATGACAGGCTCCCAAAGCTGGATCCTTTTAGAAGCACAAAGTACTTCAAGATCTCATCTCCCACCACTCTCCTCACTGTGACCCTAACACTCAGGCTGGGAAGGGTCAAAGGCATCTCTCTACCCAGAGAGCCAGAGCTGCTCCAAGCATGAGCTGAAGATGGACTCAGTACTATAGTCTCCTTTGCTCCAAGGCAGAGCATGGCATGTCCTCTGGCATGTAGCACAGAAAAGTTGCCAAACTTGTATCCTTTCAGTGACATTGTATTTCTGAGTCACAGCCCAGTCAGTCAAATGCTGGAGCCTTATATGTCTCGTTTCTACCAAGAGCCTCAGCCAAATTCAAGCAGGGTGTGGAGGGCATATTTCACTCTAAACGCTGTCAGTGATTAGACTCCACATGGCAGCAATTTCACCCCTCTAGTAAAAGCATTTCTGTCCATTTTCATGATCCAAAGTGCTCATTGGGTGTGCAACAACGAGGGCAGATCTCTCACTCAGACAAATTCAGGTGACGGTTACACAACTGCTCCCCTGCAGAATTAGTCATTACCTCAAAATGCATCTTCCTATCCAACAGCTCCTTGTAAAGGCTTGGGTCTTCCAGGACATGGTAGCCATGCCCAAGTCGCTCTGCCTTCAGAACATTGATTGCCTACAGAGAACATACAACATGTAACATCTCTTAGCTCTGGGCTGGGGCTGGACTTCTGCTCCCCAGAGCATCAGGCAGGCCCCCAGGAGCTCATGAGCCCTCCAAACCCTATTCCAGGATGCCAATCCACTGCCTGCATGTAATGGGTACCCAGCTCCTAGGCAAACCTGATCCTTCTGAGCACTATGTGAGGCTCAATCTCCAGCTTCCTCTTTGCATGATGCACAAAACCTGCTACCTTAGAGTAGGGAAGGATTTGGCTCCCAGTAGTGATGGGCAAGGATTTGGCCCTGGCCACCTCTGTCCTCTGCATTATAATACAAAATATTTTATAGCTCCACTGTAATTTATTCCACTGCCCTGCCCTGGGGCGTCTTACCTCCTTGATGACCAATGGTGATCCAATCTCCCCAGCATGAGCAGTCCGGTGAATGCCACATCTTTCAGCTTCCTGGAAAAGCCCACATGAAGCAAAGAGTGAAAACCCTGCTGTGGGACTTGAGAGGCACCAGGGTGTGGGAAGGATGTGAATAAACTATCTGGACAGCAACCCCACCATAGATTCCTCAGCTTTCAAGACAGAATGAATGCTTTCAACAGACCATTAGGCTGAGAGCTCCAGAACAGTCAATCCCAGGAGTAATGACTGTGGAGCAACACAAGCAAAAGAAGAAGAAAATCAGTTACCAATGTCAGACAATGTAGGAGCTGGATATGTGAATGTCCAGGAAGCTCAACCAGCACTAGGGAATGAAAGGAGTCACCCACTGGCAGTTATTCATAGTCCACATACAGTGAGTTTGCTAAGTCTCAGTCCAGTCCCTGGTGTTCACATTACACAAACACCCTCACATTCACCACTGTCCTGCCTGCTAGCAGTCTCAGCAGAAAAGGCAAGGACTAATTGAGTCACAGACACCATTTTGTCCTTCCCAGGAGGCAGCTGGTTGATGTGATGGAACAGGGGGGAAGCTCCCACTGCACTGGCCTGTGCCGAACTTGTTCTGGAAAGGGGGCCCAAACTTGTCGCAGAGGCTCTCAGCTTAGCACCTTTCATCAGTGACTAAAGGAGATTCTATGGATCTGGAAAATCCGAAACCAATTCCTATGACAGGGCCCCAAATTCTGAAATCTTGAAATGGGAGTGGGCACTGAGCAGATGTGTTACATATACACACATGCGCGTACCTTCCTGGAGATTGTTCTAACTGTTCCGTATTACTGAATTTTTCAAGTGTTTTATGAATTTTTCACTCAGTTCGCAGCTACTACGCAGCCAGGCTCCACTCGGAATTACCTGGTAAGACATGGCTCTGCCAGATATGTTAATAAGAAAAGCCTGAAATGCATCTATCTGAAATTAAAATGGAGACTCCCCATGTCTGTAGTGCTAGCTTTGTTTAAACATATGCTTGTCATATGTCCAGCACAGAACAGGGACACCAATAGTTACCCTCAAGGCTGACCATGAAGTCAGGACTAAGCTTAATCAGTCTCTCCTTTCAAACCAGCCTTTCACTCACGTCAGAAATTGCTCATTTGTGGAATTCTGCAGATTAACATCTTAATTCAAAACCTCTTGAAATCTATGGAATGGCTGCCTCCAATGAGTTTTGGATTGGGTTCTGATCCATCAGAGCACATAGCTTCTCCTATTGATCCCTATGACTGATTAAATAAGAGTTGAGAGTTTTGCCATTGACGTCAATGAAGCATGAGGGGGCCTTCAGATTAGAGTTCTGTGCAATGCATTTCAGAGACCCCACAGGCAACAATTTAAGACCAAAAGATTCCTTGTTCAGGCGAAACTCCCACTGAAACCTGTGGGAGCTTTGACTGTGTCAGGACTGAAGGAAGTAACTGTGAAGCCAGAGGCCTTAAAGATAAACAAAGTTTTGTTTTAAACACTATTTTGCTTCCAAAGTATGTTAAACACATAGGCCAGCTCTCGGGGCAATGACGTCCACAGCAAGTCACCCTGCCTGCCCAGTTCCCATCCTTTTCCCTGCTTGCTTAGCCAAGTCCATGTGCATGAAGCAAATTATCCTGATATGCAGTTTGCATGAGGAGTTTCCTAAGAAAACAACTATGTTTATCCCCTAAAGTTTGTTATCAAAGAGGTACAAACACAGCTTGGGCAGACTTAAGGGGCTAGGTTTAATCTAGCTAGCTCAGGTCCCAGGGAAGAGAAGCTTCAGTAGTGCATGCTTCAGTGTGGGGTAGCTGCCCAAGAATTACACAGGGTTCCAAGCAGGTCTGTACAGTTCACATCAAAACACATGCTCTCAAATCTTCCCTGGTCCATGATCTGAGATAACAGGACTAAAGTTTAGTTCAGGTATGCCTACAGGAGCTGCAATCACACCCCCTGATTCCATTTAGCAATCTTCCATTTAGAAGACTATAAAAAAAATAGTGGAGGGGAGATCTATAATCCTCAGACTGCTTGCTGTAAAGACATCCCTTTCAACAGCCTTTCTGGCACTAAATAACCTAGAACTTCCCAACCAAGGCAACTGCCTATTCCTCTCTGCATGTTTCTTTGGTTTATAACATTGCTTGCCTAGGAGATTAGCATGAGCTAATTACCTAGACTTGCAGCTTTAAGATCTTTAGATGGCTTCTCCCCATTATTCACAGACAGAACTCTCCCTACTATTCCAAATTGTAATGACAGTTACAGACTCCTGACAACCAAAGTTTAAATGGGAACACAACTGAAAATTGGGAACTCCAGTCCAAGGGCAGACATCTGATCCCCTCATCAAAAGTCTCCCATTTTATAACATGGATAATGTGTCTTGATGTGAGGAGCTCCAATGTGAGGGCAATTTAGAAAGGGAGCATTCTACTTTCATTCCGGCTAAAAAGCCTGAAAATTGGATTTAATTTGCTTTCTATTTCTCCAAGTCTGAATGAGTCATTGGCTTTCAGACAAGAAATCATATCTTCTGGTTGAGAAATATGGACTTTGAGACCCTATGTATAGCATGCTAGGTATTAATTGATACATTGTTATTATCCATTCTGTTTTATATGCCTTTAATCTTCTTGGAAGTAGCATAATGAGCAAGTAATTGATTCATCTTGTATAACACAAGCCTGATTAGTGCTCATGACAAGAAATTTCAGCATGTTAAAAAGGATAAGAAACTGCTATGTAAGTAGGACCTTATCTGTAAGTGTTTCATTGTACTGCATGGCTTTAAAAAGCAGCATTGGGCATTTGTGGACGGAGACACCAGTTGGGAAAATACATAAGTTCAAGGTCATGCAAAACAAAGTATGTTTCTTCCATACTCTTCTCCTTAACCTCCAGTTTTTGCCTTCACATTAAGACATTTGTATTGGTTCCCATGACAACCACAGATGGCTGTTGGACTAACTACAACAGTGTGCCTCTGAGATCTCCTTGATTCCACCTCAATTAAAATCACCTGACCCCCAGCACTATTTTTAAATCCACTATCCTTCTAGTCTGTGTTCCTGAGCACCTTCAGCTTCTCCTTGATTCCACCTCAATTAAATCACCTGACCCCCAGCACTATTTTTAAATCCACTATCCTTCTAGTCTGTGTTCCTGAGCACCTTCAGCTTCTCCTGACCTATGCTAATCATGTAACTTCTTGAAATAATCGCCACTAGAGTCCCAAAATCCTTATATTCAGATGGGAGATATTTGCATGGGGCTTCCTTTAAAAACTATAGTAAAGTAACATGGTCTAGTTTACCTGAAATGTATTCTTTTAAATATCATCATCTTAGTTTATTACAATGGAAAAAACTTTGAACATATATTTATGCTATTTAGTTGATTGATTTAGTTTTTTTGCATTTTACTCAGCTGAAGACAAAGAAGAACTAATCAATTTCAGCTTTGGTATGGAGCTCTGATCCTGCAAAACAACATAAGCTGGCAGCCCTATGAAGGATCACTGAAGCACCCCAGTGGATCTGAATGCAGGATCATTTTACAATCAATTGTGGTTCTGGGCTTTAGCTGCAGAACAAAGAGTGTGAATGCAGCTGGGACACATTTAAATAAATAACTTCTTTATACTTAAATCATATATATGCTCTATTAGTAATTTAAAAAGCAAATTAAAGTAATATTTCTACTATGCCAGTAAAACACTTCTATTAATTTTAAGACATATGTAGGCCATTTTGGATCTGAACTACTTGCCAGATCCCCTTTGTACTGTGCTGTTTCTGCACTAATCAGAAAAAAAAACCTTATGCAAGATTTTTCAAGATGCTAATTGAACAAACCTCATAAGCCTGTCTATGCTCTGGGAAGGTCTCAGCCACCAACTCATCCCCAGCCAGGTCTATGGCTACCACCGTGTTGTTGTGATATTTCTTACACAGCTCCACCACCTCCAATGACCAGCCTGTAAACAAGAGCAGTGGGATTCAAGAAAAACATTCCACCAGGGTCACCCTTGAGCTCTTATCCAATCCTATGTGATTGTTCAAATGAATATAAAAAATTAACTTAATTTGCTTTCTGGAATTCTCCCTGAGTTTGAAGCCCTATAAAAAGCAACATAGTTCTAGAGTCAGACTTGCAGACCAGGGCCAGAGAGGAAGAGCCCTACCAGCAAGTGCGCTCACTGCCTGTAGAGTTTGTAGGCGTGACAGCTTTTAGCCCTGGATAATAGGCCTTTCAAAGGAGAGCAGATCATTATAGCTCTTGACAAGAGCAAAAAGCAGCTGGAAAGACCAAGAATTATATAAAAACAATACAGCATTTAGCTGAGCACAGGACAACCATTGCTCGGAGTAGCAGGGGACATTGTGTCTTACCATTTTCTCTTTATGTATGTTATTTTGAAAACAAAAGGGCAGCATAAGAAAAATAACATCAAGGAAGAGGATTCTATTCCCAAGGCCATGTGATTGGGGGAGGAAGGCATTTTTATCCACAGCAATACATCTGTATGTGCCAGATGAGATCTCTGCTTATCCCATAGTCCATATTCCTCTCCAAGTCCAGATTTATAGGAATCAATTAAAAAAAGATTCCTGTAAAACCACTTTATGAGGACCACAAAACCATCTAGAACCTTTGAGTGAAAATTTAAGTTTATGAAAAAACTGCTGTGAAGGTAAGTTTCACTGACGCCAATGGGTGGAAACAAGTGGTTCTGCTTTAGAGAAGGAAGAAAATACCATCTTTTACGAGTTAATGAAGGAGAAGGTGAAAAGTGCAGTGATGAACTCAGAAAGCTCCAGGCATCTGGCTAAGTGGGATTTAATTTGGTAATGCTCCCTGCACCATGATGGAGCACAGCACCTCCCTGTTAAAACCCTCATTTGCTGCTCTTTGGGGGAGAAGAGGGGGGAAAAAAATCAGACACACTTCTAAAAAATATTAAAAACTAAAATACAAAATGGGGAGGAGGGCAGACACAAGGTTATGCCAGGTTTCAAGATTAAAATTAACACACCTCAGAAAGACCATGGATGCAAATGGCAGGAGGATACAAGTTACGAAAAGCTATTTTAAAAAGAGGGAAGTAGCAGAACTAATCAACCACCTGGAAACATGGGGCTTTTCTCAATGTGTTTCCTGTCATTCAGTTTTCCTGAAGGACCTTCACAGTAAGATTGTGTCTTCAGAATGTGTGTCCCCTGCTCTAACAATGCACCTGCACTACAGCCTATCTTTCAGGGGTCAGGGTTCTGTGGCGAGATACTAAGTTTGCAAGTGGGCAAACATATGAGCTGAAAAAAAATATTGTGTGCGCACTTTCAGAGGCCCTTTAAAAATGCATTGTGGAATGGCACCTGAAAGGCTCTTCTCTAAGTATATGTGCTTCGTGGGTTGGGAAATATGGGCTGATTATAATTACGGGGAGGAAGAATGGAGAATGACAGCATCTGACCAAGTATCAACAATCCATGCTTTAACTGTTTAGAGAAGTGTCTATAATATAGTACCATGTTGAGCATATCATCTATGATAACAGAGGAACTTATGAAAGTGACCACTCGCTACAGAAGCACCAGAGACACTAGCCAGGATCTGTTTCTGTGTTTGTTTTTTTTTTTTTTTTTTTTATTTTGGACCAAAGCTGCCAATTCAGCCCTTGGGCTGACAGTTCTGGGCAAACGGGTCATGACCAGCAACAGGCAACTGTTTTGCAACTGCAGTTCCCTCTACAAATGGTAGGTGTCAAACACACAGTGCTGCACAAACCTTCAAACACATCCATTTCGCAATTTTGTCAGCTCTAGCAAAGGCTGGGAAAATAAAAAGGAGAAGTTCTCTTCCTCCTTGAAATTAAGACTAATGTAGTTTGTGCTGGAAACAAAGCAGTCCTTAGCTCAAATCCTCTTTTACCCTTGAATCTTGAGTCTAAGTTGGACAGGTCCCTGGAGCTCACAGCAAGGAAGAAAGGACCTTCAGGGTCCCAATAATTCAGAGTCAGTGAGCTGGAACAGGCAAGTGAGGATCTGGGAAATACTGGTACCATCCAGAATGTGACAGAGGGGAACCCACAGAATGCTTCACTTCACAAGGCATTGCTTTGCACAGAACTGAAAGCAGAAGGGGCTTTTCTGGTAACAGAAATCAAAAGGAAATTGAAAGAAGAAGGGGGATATGTCACCTCTTATTGGCAATATGGATTGTCCTCCCCCTGCCCTGGTCTGAGAAAAGGAGAGAAATCAAGAAAGCCACACAGGCAGCACCACTTTCTATGGAGTTTTAGATCCATCATATACTTCCAGGCAGGTTTCAGGACTCCCATGGACATAAGGGTAAACTACATCATCTCACAGGACATTGCCCTCACCTATACATGGGGCCCACCATAGACATTGCTTCCCTTCTGAGGGCCCCTCTCAACAAAACACTAACAAAAAAGGGCAATTTATTGCATCTGCACCTCTGATGCGTATGACATGCAAAGCTTCCGGATGGGAGGAGTGGGGCCACAGAACTAGAATAAATTGTTCTCCTGGGTTCAAATACCTGCCATGGGTTGGGTGAATTTATAGAGACACATATCAGAGATGCCTCAGTGCAGTCTGTGCTGTTCCAAGATGTTGTCATCTAACTGTTGGATACATGCTCTGGTCTATCTCATAAAGTGGCTTTGACAACACTGAGCACAACTCAGGAGGAAGGGATAGCTCAGTGGTTTGAGCATTGGCCTGCTAAACCCGGGGTTGTGAATTCAAGCCTTGCGGAGGCGATTTGGGGAAAAATTTGTCAGGTATGGTATTTGGTCCTGCTGTGAAGGCAGGGGACTGAACTCAATGACCTTTCCCTTCCAGTTCTAGGAGATAGGCAGTCTCCATTAATTTTTTTTAACTCTAATCTGACTAGAAATTGCTTTTTGCAGAAATAGGAAAAACTGAGCTAGTATCCTTCAATCGAGACTGGGAGAGATGTGAGATTTTCCCCCCTCCCTCCACTCAAAGGATCAGGAAAGGAGGGAGCAGAGCAGCAGGTGAACGGTAATACATTACTTGGCATATGGCGCATGCAGCATAGAATAGACCTGGCTTTGATGTTGAAATCCCTTTCTCCATCCTGTAATCCCTGATTAACGAGGTTAACCACTTCATCCGGAGTGAGGTTGCCTCTGCAGGGAAAAAAAAAGCTTTGGAATTAGCTAGCCAGCTCATGAGGTTTGGCTCCCCAGCAATCCTAGAGGAAGAGAAACTGGTTCCTGAATGATGATAACACTGAGCAGTTTGTATTATTGATGTGGGCTGTTAAATACAGGAGAATTCCAACACTGCCCAACCTATTTGACCATAGTGGCAAAGTGCCAGAAAACTAAGGGCCACATTTATAACAACTGCAGCCACCTGCATGTTGAGCCTGATCAGAGCAAGAGGGAACATGGTCTGCCAGGATCCATAGTTTCAAGGTCTGATTTACTAAGTAGCATTTACAAAAGTGTCTAAGCATCTTAGGCTTCCAACCATGAAGGCACATCTGTGAATCTCCCTTTGTGTCTATGTGCAGCACTAGCCATATTTATAACAGAGGTCCCCAGTGACCCACATCTGTCTGGAGGATGAAGATGGAGGCCCTGCAGAGCTGAATGGGATACATGTTGGCCTGAGACACACGCTTTCACAAATCCTGTGCTAGATCACTGTATATCTTTAAGTAAATGAACCAGTTTGCAATCTAGGAAAGTGGAACCTTTTTCTTTTTTTTTCTGGTCAGAAAGTCTTATTAAAATGCAAAGCTTTGCACTATCCTGGCTGCAGTGAGCAGAACGGCACAAAAAGCAGCAGAAGCCGCACACCATGTTTTGTGAGAAAACCCAGAGTTCTCCTCACAAAGCTCAGTGCTGGTTTAATTAGTGACACATTGTTCTAAAAAGCACAGATGACATATAAAGATAGAGCTGCCAGGGCTGCACCCAAAACCTCAGGCCACCAGCTTTGCTGGCAGAAAATGTTACATTTGGAAGGGGTATGCACTGAGAGGGACTGTATCTGAACTTGTCTAACTTCTAGAAGGGAGAACAACTTCAGCCAAAAATCTAACCGCTGTCTCCCCCTCCCCCGCAGACAAGACAATGTGCTTAGGGCAAGATGTCCTCAGAAGAGGGCAGCAGATGGAGCAGTTACCAGAGGATGAATATTTTGGGAGTGGGGGATGAAGGGGAGAGAGGAAAAGCACAACCTGACTATTACTACAGTTGAGAGAGAAACAACAGGTATGCTGGCTCAGGTCCTACATAAATAGGGCCTGGATTATACATCAACTAATTGAATCAGGGCTAAGCTTCTCCTTGCCTGAGCTGAAAACAACAGTGAGACTTCACTGATGTATACAGATGGGGAGATTCATTGCAAGTTTTAGTGAACTCATTGAATCATCAAGTGGTAGTTCAACAATTAAAACAAACCACAAAATAAAGACTTCATCTCATAATATACTTAGTTCCTTTACTTTCACAACTGCAGTTTAGTTTTGTTTGTAATCAATAGTTAGCATGCTGCAGCATGTTCTGGAAAAAGATAATTGAGACTTCACTACAGCACTCTGCTATTAAGTCTTTGAAGAAGAAAGGAGACAGGAGAAGAAGGTGGTTAGCAAATCACAGATGAAACAGCTTCTAGTGAGCATCCTTGCTAAGGCACATGAATGTAACCTAACCTGTGCTTTCCAACACACCTGTATGGATTTAGTTCAGCATTTAGTTTAGGAGCATAACTGCACATTAAGTATGCATAATTGCTCACACTAATTTCTATGTATAATTATCAGAATTGTGCTTGCTCACTGGGTAATTACCATCAAGTGTGTCTAATTAGTTAAGTGCCTATATAGCTACTGTGATTGCACATGTAAATTAGGCACACAATTACACATCTAAACAATGAAAATCTGTCTCAAGTTATAAATCAGTCTCAAGTTATTGTGTGCGGGGAGCAAAACTCAATTATCCATTATGCATCCAACGAAGTAGGTGTTTACCCCCAAAAGCTTTTGCCCAAATAAATCTGTTAATTTCTAAGGGGCCACAGGACTCCTTCTTGGTTTTGCAGATATAGAGACCAACAGGGCTACCCCTCTGATTATTTGCTGATCAGTGACTTTTGTACAGAACTCAACGTGCTGTGTTTGCACAGTCTTACACTTTATGAATTCACTCACTCATTTTGATTCCAGGGAACAGGATACACTTTGCAGTTGGCTAAAAAATGAGGGCTGTATCTGACCTCAACATAGATGACACCTTCATTTGCTTTCATTTCTACAAACTCATAAGCTATTCTTCTCACAGCATCGCGGTCCCCCCTGTAAGGAAAAGAACAGGGTTAGTCTGATTTCTGAGGAAGCTATGGGCTGATCAACAACATATAGAAGAGTGGACCGGCTCTGGGTCTGAATGCTTCCTAGGGGTATGCATCCGAGTCCCCACAGCACATGAAAGCTCTTCACATACTGATAGCCAGACATTTAAATTCTCTCCTTGCATGGTGGCAGGACTAACTGCATTGTCTCTAAATGAGCTGGGCAAAAGCCTACTCCCCCACTTCCCAAGAACATCATGGTATTTTATTCGCTTATAAATCATCATTATCACCATCTTTTTCATAGTAAAGGAAGATAGGTACACTTTTTAGCTTTGAGTCTTTCAAGCATTCTCAAGATAACGCACACCCCAAATCAGCAATTCTAGCTACCCATGCCTGACACCAAGGAGTAGTTTGCAGCAGTTAGGAGGGAAAAAGTTACTTACGCAACAGCAGGCATGTAAATATCAAACTTTGCTAGAAATTGGGTGAGAGTGAGTGGCTCTGAGTAACTGATATGCGGCAAGAGGTCTTCAACTGTGTCAGCAGGGAGCGGAATTCCTCTTTTCCTAGAAATGAATACACAGTTCACTGACAAGGAATTGGGTTACAGCTTCATTTAGAAATATTGTTCATACTGCTGAAGCCTGCTTTGAGTCTATTTCTCCACAGAACAAAGACAGCACAAGCAGGCCCACCAACAGCAATTCCAGGCTCCAGGCAGAAGAGTCAATGGGCCTTCACAAGCTACTCCCACATGAATGTGGCCTGCCTGACATTTGGGCAGTGCTGGCTCCGCGAGGGAGTTTGGATGCAAAAGGGGATGATGGGTGCAGGCTCTGAGCTAGGGAAGGGGTTAGGGTGCAGGAAGTGGTCATGGGGGCTGCGCTAACTCAGGTGCCTCCCAAAAGTGACTGTACACTGCTCTGGTAGCCACTCCTGCGAGTAGGCCAGCAGGTCTTTATGAACTGCTGCGTACAGGCACATACCACCCCCCAGCTCCCACTGGTTACAGTTTCAGGACAAGGGAGCTGTGGAGTCAGTGCTCAGGGAAGGAATAGTGCATGGAGACCCTCTTCTTCCCATCTTGTTGGCCATTTCTGGGAGGGGCACAGAACAAGGGTAAGCAGGAAGTCTGCCTTCGTCCTGTTGTGCTGCCAGCGATGGCAGCTGGGGGCAGTCCCCAGATCCTATTAAATCACCCATGAACCTGGGTAATTGCCCCTTTTCCAGCTTCTCCTTCCCCCCGCCACCCATCAACAAGCCTGAGTACAGGCAAAAGATAGCTCCGTCTTCCCAATAATCCCTTACCTATGCTTGTCAGGAGCCACGCCTGGATAAGAGAGTATTCTGATCTCTATTACCAAGAACAAACCCAAAACTACCCAAAATAAATTGAGCCAAAAAGGAACCTTTCTTTTCCTAGTGCCTTGGTACTTTCTGGTCCTAGAAGCACAAATGCCTAATTATTTCAAGAAAGTAATTTCCAGCCCTAATTATATGGGCTCAAGAGCTACCAACAGACATCATATTGCTTATCTGAACTGAGCTGTTGAGTAGACCTTCTCAGGTTTGTCAAGTGGTAGTCTCCAAGAACTGGTCAACGCATGGTCTTTCTGCTGAGTCTTCCAGCAATAGAGAACAATTTGTGAAGTGGTTTCTCTGATCTGAAAATCTTTACACTGGGATGAAGGCTGACACCCAACAAGCCACTTCACAGAAAAGTCACCAAAGAACCCATCTATCTCTACCCAAAGCGGGCTGTCTCAGATTGTGAGCTGGAGGGGAAAGGCTCCAGATCTCATTACCGAAGGCTTGGTCTTCTCCAGTTCAACAGCCGACTACACTAACTGCAGGAAAACAGCCTGATATTGCTAATCTGCTCAATGTACGCAAGTTTTACTGCTCTGTGGTCTAGGAAATCTACACTATGTTCAGAGTTCAAAGGCAAAGGCAGTTACCACAAATTGAGACCCTGGCATTCAGCAAGCGTTATTCATTACTGTTAAGTATTACTTCATTTCCATCGTCCACTCTGATGACACATCACTTATCCAGTTTAAATGACAGACATGTCATTGCCATGCCCTACATATAGAACCCTGCCTTTCTGAGCCCTGAAGGCCCTTTCCCTATCCTCATTCAAATCCTTCCTGAAGGCCTCTCTCTGTCCATAGAACATTTAACTAGCGTGGGCTGGATGCAGGGTAATGTGGAATTGCAAACACAAGGCTTAGAGCACCTACAGAAAGTCTCTCTCATGTGTCACTATGTTACATTGTTTGGATGTAGTCAATCACCACCCAGCAACTTTATTTGCCGTTTGATCTGTACTAAGTCATTTTCATGTCATGATCACTAACTCATGGTTACAAGCAGCATTCTGCTCTTTGGACCAGATTTTCTAGCCTCCATAACATGCTATATTTGCACAAACACTAACACAATTTTTGCTCTATCCTTAAATGAGCACTATATGTTAAAAGTGGTAGTTTTTGCAGACTCCAGCTTTACAGTAGATATAAAAACAGCTTTAGTCATTTCCATTTTATACAAAAGTCGGGCAGCCCTCGGTTCCCGTTAAGTTGCAAGCACAGTTCCCTCAGGTGGAGGATGTATGGCACTCTAGTCTACAAAAGTGTGAGAATCACCCAGGTACAATAGAACCCAATCGCCCACAATGCCATAGAGAAGTAAAAGAGCTCACTGGAGTATAGATATGTCAATGTGCAATGAAATCTTTAACCTTTGCTCCAACAATATGCACAGATGGGTAAAATTAAGGGGAATTCGTATACAAGGGGCATCCCGCAATAACCAACCTGGATTTTCTTGATGTACCTTATAAACATTTATCTGGACTCTGTTTCAGAAACTACTGACAGTTCTAAAGGCATCTTAGGCTACATCTACATGACTGAGTTCTGAGATTGATCCACCGGCAGTTGATTTAGTCTCACAGCAAAATACCAGCAGTCTGGGTCTGAGATGGCAAGGCAGGATTGACACTGATTACTAAGGGACAGCCAGTGGTAATGGTGGTGCACTAGGGTTGCTTGCACTTTGCAGAACTATTCCAATTATGAATGTGGCAGAATACTGCACTGTTTTATGGATCTATTCACAAATGAACTCTTAATTCATTCTTTCCAACATCTGTTTGGAAACCTGACCACAAAATCTGATTCCCCATCTAAGCTGCTCGTGTTTGTTTTGTGGCTTGTGAGCATAAGGATAGGGCACTAGATCACTGTTTGCTTACATACTTTACACCAATTCAATCCAGTTTCAATACTACATTCTTAGACAGTGGAACATTTCATGCATCATGCATTCAATCAGTGCTGGTCCACACTCTGATTAGGATCATGCTAGTGACACCATTTGTTGTTTCCATATGATTTCAAGCAATGTCCCTGATGCGCATGGACAGTGTAATTTTTGTATGAGAACTCGATGGACAGTTTAGCTGACAGGGCTCAGTAAAAAAAATCCTTGTCTTTGTCAGATAGAATCTTGCTAATGCAAAGGATGTATAAACATAATTGTAGCTAACATGGGACTAATCAGCAAAGATGGGGCCAAATTCTAGGAATTTTCCTTTTACATGGAGGTGGCTCTGTCCAAGAAATCTTTAAAAATCAAGGCAACCAGCTAAACACACTAAAGCAAATTGTTATTTTTAAACAACTCACTTGCCAAAGTGTAAAATTGTTTCTGGCTTAATGGCTCCATCCAGGTGGACGTGAAGTTCTACCTATAATTTAAAAAAAAGACAAAGAACAGAGACATATTCATATAACTGGGATAGTAAGCTTGGGATCAGAGGATGTTACCAATACAGCCAGTGTGATGAAGTTCCAAGATGGGAGTTTAAAGAGAGAATTTAGATACTTGAAGTGCAAGTTATTTTACAGCAACCTTAACACTGCTCAGGAATTGTCCTACTCACATTTGTTCTCACAATGAGTTGGGGTTAAAAAAGTGATATTTGCTTCTAATCGGCTCCATTTAGATATTCATAATCTTTTAAACCAATGGCTCTGAGCCTGTACAGACTCTTATACCCCTTTCAGGAGACTGATTTGTCTTGGATAACCTCAGATTTCACCTCACTTAAAACTACTTGCTCACAAAATCAGACTTAAAAATACAAAAGTGACACAGCATGCTATTACTGAAAAATTGTTTCCTCATTTTAATCATATAATTATAAAATAAAATCAGAATATAAATATTCTGTATACAGTGTATATGGAGCAGTATGAACAAATCACTGTCCGTATAAAATTTTCATTTATGCAGACTTCACCAGTGCTTTTTATGTAGCCTTGTAATGCTAAGTAATTATCTAGATGAGTTGACATACCACTTGGCAGACCTCTGCGTAGCCCCAAGGCTATGTGTACCTCTGCTTGAAAACCACTCTCTTAAATGCTGGTTAATCCTGGTTTCTGCCTTTCCACAAATACCTCAATTTTTCAACCAAAAGCTACTCTTGCTTTGATCATGTTTCAAAAAGGTGCTTTAGTTTAGGCCTATTACCCATGAGACAATAACCCGAATCACCTTTAATTTCGAACCCCTGCTTCCCAAAAACTTTGAGATAAATAATTTCTGCCAGGAGCAAAAAAAATCTTGGAAGATGAAAGATTGGTACCTTTTCCAAATTTGGTGGATGTTGCGAATCATTTGTGAGAAAGTTAATATACATGATTTGAAAAGCACAACATTAAGAGGAAAAAAACTAGTGGTAAGATTTTTAAGCAATCTCTTCTGTGCACAAATACAATTGTTCTGAGAACACTGGGAGAGAATGTGTCTTGCACAAGAAAAATGGGAAGGAGCTCTCACGTCTATCATAATTATTGAGGAAAAATAGGATAAAATATTGTAAATTAACTCCAGGTATATGGAAAGGAGAGAGGAACAACTTACACCGTTCTTTAGAACTGTTTACTGACTCAACATACCAGTACTTGGAAGCAAATTGTAAAGAAAGGCTCATCTTGACCTCAGGCCTCTCACAGAGATTATTTCTGATACCTCCCGAGATTATATTCACCAACCAAAACTGAGTTTTAGGCAAGCAAAAACATGGAACAGATTAATTTTATTGAAGTTGTTGATACATTTACTAAGTTATGGGAAATCTCTCATCTTGCGGACTTGCACTGATGGGACCTGTGCATATAGTTCTCTGCAATCTCAAGGAGACAACGCCCCTAAGTTGTTTTTAAAATTTTATCCAGACCAAATGAATCATTTAAAAAAATCATAATAGGCATTCAGTGTAGAGATAAGTGAAGATAGCCATAATATGGAGAACACAAGACCTTAATTATTGAACGCAAGGCCATAACAGGATTTAGAAGAAGACTGGACATTTTATATTGACAATGAGAATACTCACAGTTAAACACCATACAAAGGAAGAGGTATAAATACTCTAGTGTCAGACAATGTTTCCTCTATTTTTTTCCATACATGTGTGGAATGAATTTTATTATGTGCACCAAGGCATGTGCAGATGTGCATCGTCAATAGACACACATGCTGCCAGCTGTGGGCACTCAGCTAATCAGCTGAGCAGCACCTGAATCTCTCCTGGGTGGCAGCCAAAGTGCTCCTATTAGAGGGAACACTAGTGTCAGAGCGTATACCAATCAAAAACTGACAAGAGTGAGAAAGAAACTAAGCCTACAGACAAGTCATTCCTTAATTGTCCACTTCAGGGTTTACCTCTGACACTGCTGGTACGTAGCAAAGTAAAAAACAAGAACTGGATTACAGGTCCAATCTGGTAATTCCTGCTAATTTAGGTCAAAGTAGCAGGTTTTGGAATTTCCTCTGCTCTCACCCATTCTGCTGCTTTTCAGGAGTTCCAAATTTGTGGGCCAGTCACTGAGAGAGAAAGCTACTCCTGCATGTAGGGATTGCCACCTGTCCACGTTTTCCCAAGAATGTCCCTTTTTTTAGATGGCTGTCCTGGGAAATCTCTAAGAGTGCTTAGTTCACACTGCCAACTGTCCAGTTTCAAGGGCTAAGGATCATCCCAGATGTCCCATTATTTTTCTACCCCAGGCAACACTACGTGCACATGTATTTGATGCCAAGTCCACAGATCTATTGGAATATACCATTAGAGCAGGACACAGTCACACAGAAAGCTTTGAGTGAGACAAAAATGAGGAATTTGAGCCAATAAGGAGCCAAGGCAGACAACAAAAAACTGGAATGATGGGCTCTTGGTGGCCCAAGCTGCTGAACAAATAAATCGATCCATTCAAAACCAACTGCAACTTTCAGTTTAATCACCACGTCTAGATATCATGGATGTTAGCTGTGGCTAAGTACAAAACATTATACATCATGGCTTTATATGTACTTTGTTCTTGTGAAAGACAGCATAGAACTGCTCATCTTTAGCAGTGCCCTCAAGATTACAGGCAATGCTTTTCTCTCTGCCCTGATTTGCAAATCTCTGAATGGGACTAGATCTAGTTACCTGAAACCTCACCAAAGATAGCTTTGCACCACTGGAGCAATGAAACTATCAACCACCAGGAGACTCAACTTCAGGAGGCAAAATTTTCATAGGAGCTAAACCAAGACTATGGAACTCACTGCTCCATGAAATGAAAGAATGAAATGAAAGCAACCACTACTAGCCTCACAACACTGATCTCTAAATACAGTGCAAACAATTTTTCTTCAACATAGCACTCTCATGTTCTGGCACTCAAGCTTTTTTCATTTACTTTTTTAAATGGAAAATACACACACACACACACACACACACACACACACAAAACCTCTTTCAGCAGGCTTGGAAAATAAATCATTATTGTTGTTTTATTATTCTCTGGAAGCATTCAGTTTCTATGGTCATGGATGCAAATACAAGAACCCAGATAGACAAGGTCAAAATCTGGTCATGGTTTTTTACCCATGCATGAATTATATGGCTCCAGGGAACCAGGATTAGGCTAACAGAATGAAACTAGAATAGAACGAACTGTGGGGGACAAGCTAAGGAGCAAAGGACAGATGCAACAACAGAAGGAGAAATGTAGCAGCAGGGAAGGGAGTCAAGGTGGAAGATGACAGGAAGAGGGACAGGAGCGAAGGATGTGCATGAAAGAAAATACAGTAGCAGGAGGGAGCAATAAGCCATGCAGGGCACAGAGTGATACAGGTCATGGATCCGTACTCCTCAGTTTGAATTCTTGGGCTCCAATGCAATTCACAACTCAGGATTCACAGACACTTCATTCCCTGGGGGCTTTTGTGGCCACAGAATTCTTTGATAGAATTATAGGCGTAAGGCCCACTATTCATATTTATTCCACAGTATACCATGTACAAAATCCTAGCAACATGAATTTGCATGTTCCTACCTCATCTCAAACATTTCCTACAAAAGTGACCCACCAGTGCAGTGCTTTCTTCCAAGTGACAACATTAAGTAGCTTCCCTGAAATTGTGAAATATCTGCCTTTACCCTCTGTTGCTATTGTAAACAATACACTTGTAAATTGTAGCAGGAAAAGTAACAAGGTTCCACTCCATGTCTCCAGGAGAGGGCTCTCTTCCTCTTAAATAGCTTGCAATAAAACAGGGATAATGAAATTGGGAGAGGAGCATCTGAGCAATTCCACCTGAAGTAGTGCACAGCTTGCAAGACAAAAGCCTAGCACCATCTGGTTCCCAGGTCTGTCCAGAACTACGCAAAGCTGACCAGAGCCACGTCTATCCTAATGAATTGGAGAAGTGAGTAGTTGGATAAGCATACAACTTCTTATTGTTTATGTTAGTGACTTGCCTTTTTGTTTCACTGTGCCTTTTTGGGACAGGGGAGATGTGCAGAGGTTTTATTTTTGGGGACACCATTCCCTTTCCAAGAAACTCTTCTCCCAGATGCTCTTGGTTCTTGAGGTTGTGTATGATTGTTACAAAGACCTAGCTCTTCTTCTGCCTTATGCAATCCACACATCCAATCATGTCTCATTCGCCTTCACCATTGCTGGGGAGCTTGGCCCTCTTCCAGAGGGTCAACTGTTGGCTCTCACTCAAGTAGTGGGGTACTACTTCAGACTCTCTGTGGCTGGGCAAAGGGGCGCACAGCCTGACTCCATCTGCAGGACTAACCCAGAGATTTGTGGATTCACAGCCAGATCTGGGAACTTTGATATGCAATGCCTGGTACAATGCCATCAACCATGATCATTCTGGTGGGCACAGTGGTCCTCACTAGACTATGCATGGCTGATGATTTCTCCAACTTATGTAGAGAATAACGACCTTATTTTAAAATCAGTGAGTTCTCCAAAAACTAAGGGCTTAGTTAAATCAGCTTCATTAAACTATTCAGAGAAGCAAAAGCAAGCAGAGAACTAAGAAACATGTACATTATATTCTTAGAGGGGCTGGAACAGTGAAAGATGGAAGAAACCTATGCTGTCATCTCAAGTACATTGTCCTGCCATGACAGGACAAAGGAAACTACTATAGCAAGGCTTTGTGGTTTGTGCTGCATATCAACTAACTCTCAATCAGATTTTTGCCTGTTGTGCAATATCCCCCTGAAAGCTCCCTCCATCTGGCCTCATCACACGGTACTGCCAAACAGGCTAAGCTTCCCTTGACTAGAAGCACACTACATCTGCACTGGCAGAGGACAGTGGAAACTAACTCCAGAGTGGGCCAAATTAGATGAAGCTGTCTCTTGACTTCCTTTCAGAGTTAACTCTTTCA